TCATAATTTTCTTCCTATTTAATTATGTATCTTTTCAAGAGTTGATTTTAGGCGAAAATGGAAGAGGATAAAAATATTTGTAATTAAATCTTACAAAATATGACTAGTTACAAATCGAATATTAATCATGATTATTATTGTAAAAATAGAAAAAATCGCCAAAAATGGGGTTAAAAAACATTACTTTTTAGGGAATTTTTTTGGGGTCTTTAAGTTGGGTATAGGACCTTCATACTTGGCTCAGATACGTGAAAATTTAATCACATATAGAAGGGTTCTCAAGCTTTCAAACGCTTTTTGAAATATTCGAATCCGTCAATTAATAATAATAAATATGTGAATATTCAATTACTTAAATCAATTTTTTTTAAAGCAGGTTTTAAAAGTTATTGGAAAGAGAAAGAAAGTTAAAATAAACAGATCGATTGGTCAATTAGTTACGTAGTTATAGCCGATCAAAGTTAACCGTCATTTACACTAATTGTACTCGAACATCCGGGCCAATTTTTCGAAAAAATACCTTTGGTATTCCGAGTATTTACCAGGTTTAAGTTTGCAATACATTTTTTCATTGGCAACCTAGTTTAAAACGAGTTTAAAGTTATTTATGCAAGCAAGAAATTCAAGAAAATCGTACTGGTGGTGGAGGTGGGGGAAGCAGAGAGCGCGGCCGCTTCGGCTTGCTCGGAATTGAATCGGCGGGTTCAAAACCACGACGCGCGAAAATTTGTAATATCTCAGTTTCTAGAGGTCCGATTTTGATGATTTTTTTTAAATCGATGTCTTGCGATTTAAAAAAAAAAACAATTAGCGTATTTTCAAATGCCTATCGTTAATAATTATTGGTCTTTCAACGGTCCGATAATTATTTATCTTTAAACTTCCTTTAATTATCAACTTTATTTTTTTATTGTATCAAAGGTAAGTGCATAAACTTATATACTGTTTATCAAATATCAAAAACAAATTTATTTAAATATTCTAAAATTGTTTAAACAACAATTATATTCAAAATATGTCGAAAATTAGTAATTAATTAATTATTAATTTAAGCATCATTTCTTTTGTGATTAAAGTATAATTCAAATATTATTTACTGTTTAAAATATAAGCAAATGAGAAATTAACTCATTATATTACAAAAATACAAAATTATAGTACAAAAATTCGACCAATGTTTAAACAAGCGCCAGAGCTCTCCTAATTGACGGATTTGAATTTTTTGAATTGAAAACGTTTGAAAGTTTGAGATCCTTTCTATATGTGATTAAATTTTCAAGTACCTAAGGGTCTTGGTTTTTGCTGTGCACAATTTTGAAAATTTGCAATTTTTTTTTCAAAATCTGAATTGCAAAATTATGCAAAATCTATCGAACCGATTTTGATGAAATTTGGTGTGATGACATGAACATGAACTTTTCTTGAGCCAAGTGTGAGGGTCCTATACCCAACTTAAAGACCCCAAAAAATTCCCTAAAAAGTAATGTTTTTTAACCCCCCATTTTTGACGATTTTTTCGATTTTTAAAATAATAATTATGATTCATTCGATTTGTAACTAGTCATACATTGTAAAATTTATCTCAATCAGAAAAAGATCTTAAATCAGAAAAATTTAGTCTAGCTTGCCTATGCAGTAATTTTCGCATACCCAGATATTTGATATCAAAGACCTGAGGTTAATGAGAATTAAGAATTAATATCATAAAAAATATTTTCCTTCTATCGCAACAAGCAAAATTACAGGCTGACGAAGCATCAGAGGGATTTTTAAATCCAGCAGCTTTTTATGTGGAAAAAAAGAAACTCCAAGGCCACGGAATCAGGAAAACCCGGGTAATTTATGAATAGGCGCAAAAATAAAGCTGATGATGCCGAGAGATGGTTTGGTATTCCGGGGCTTTGATTTTTCAATCGGAAGAGGGATTTTAAGTGAATTACGCCGCGACAGGACAAATGATCCCGCCTAAAATTAATCCTAATTTGTTTCCGAAGTGGATTGTGCTCCGTGTCGATACTGGGCTGTATTTCTAGAGATGCCAAACACCAGATGCTCGCCTGGGTGCGGTGGATACACCCACGACATTTTACGATGATGAAAAATGTAGCTAGTGAAACTGCAGACGGTACAAATGTAAAAGGTAATAAAATTTCATGAGAAACACAAAGTTGTATAGAGTATTTTATTAAGTATGAGACAACTTAAGAGTCAAATCATAAAGATTGAGCCAAAAATCCCTATAATTAGCGAGTTACAGGAAATAATTTTTTATTTTTTTTTGCTCGAAAACGGCAGCAGATACGAAAATATTGCAAGACAAAAAACTTTTTGAATTGAACAGGGAATTAAACCCTTAATCTAGAAAAGACCAGTGGCGTACCGGAAGAAAGTTTGGGGGCCGACCCCAGAAAAAGTATTACCTCTAGATCGTGACGACTAATGATGCAGGTAATTTAAGTTTGTCTACGTTCTAAATTTGAGCTATATACCTCAAAAACTGTGGGATACAAAGAAAAAAACAGAAAAATTATTAAACATCCTGCATACTTATGAATCACTTCTATGTAACACATAAGTTTGTAAACAGATGCTTCCTCCATATAGATATCAACCACAAGATTCTAGTCACTGAATGATCCTAACGAAAATCCAGAGACTGATGAAGTTTCCCTTCCAGTTTAATCCTATTAGTCCTGTGGCGATTGATATGTAGTGTAGACTTGGTATTAAAACTGGCATTAAACGGTGATCAGATAGGTGAGCACTCGAGTGCGTGCTTCATTTAACCGTCTGCTGGATTAGCACCGTCTGGGGAACAATTTAGTTTTTGTACACTCTATCGATTTTGGTCTCGCCCCTGATCACTTCTTTTCGTCGAACTCATCAAAGTACAAAATATCTAGTTAATGCATAGTAGGACACTTTCCGTAAAGGAAAGTCTACGTGAAATACTTGTAAAATAAAGACAATAAAAAGTATAATTTTGGCCTTTATTTATCATGTTCCTTATATTTAAATGGGAATAAAAAGTAGTTGCCGACAGTCGAAAGCAAGTAGCCAACCCAAATTTTCGCCGAGATTTCGAATTTTTTCGATGAAGTGGAGACGGAGCCACAGTAGACGACACCAACGGGGGCCAATGCTGGTGGCAGAGTAACCACTGACGACACGAAGGGCATGGAGAAACACTCCCTCAGTTTTAAATTGAAAAAGTTACTTAAATACATGGAAATTCGAGTCAAGACGACATGAAGATACACCACAATATCGATTGACCAGCTGAGATACCAATGTGGGTTGAGTCCAGCCCAGAAAACAAAAAATCCAAAGAGGCCAAAAGTCAGATGCCAAGGCGAAGATCCCTAAACGACCACAGCGTAGCCACCATGGAGTGTGATGGAACGTCAACTCAGTACACTCATACACTTTTGTGTTCATTGTATTATACACATTCATTTACATATTATCAACGTGCTGACCAATTTAATTGATCACAAATTAATGTTGAGTTTTTTGAGGGGGCTCATATAAAGAGCTTACAATTCGTCTGCCAACGTGTGATGCCAGTAAAAATATCTCTAAAATTTTATTAATGAAAGATTTGTTATACTTTTTTCACCGTTTAAAAACAGCGGAAGGTACATATCGTACATAATGTACCCAATCACTTTTATCACCTTTATTAAAGAATTGCAAAAAAATAAGGCAACGACACGCGGTGTTCCCAAGCGGTCACCCATCCAAGTACTAACCGCGCCCGACGATGCTTGACTTCAGTGATCAGACGAGAACTGGTATTTTCATCGTGGTATGGCCGTTGCCAATAAAGTTCTCTAGTCTTTGGAACATAATGATATAATATAATAATATAAATTTAAACAAAATGGTTGTGTAGGTCAAAGTTTGATATTGTTGTAAAAAAAAGTACAGTCCAATCGTTCTACGGAAAAACGTGAAAAAATTGATAGCAACAATTTGACGACGGGATCATGTAGGGAGGGGGGAGGGATAGTTAATGGAAAAATAAATAAATTAGTACAACCAATTTTGCCCCCACTCCGAATAAACAATGGTCAAAGTAGTCAAAATGAGGTTTTTCTCAAATATAATTTTTCAGAGGCAAGATGGAGAAAAAGTCTTCAAATGAAAGTTGTAGGTATTAAAAAAACCTACAATTTTTATGCATTAAAATCGGTGCATTATTTATCGAGATAATTGCAAAAAACATGCATTTTTGCAGTATTTTTAATTGTTAATAGCTTTTGCATTAATGGTCGTAGGCGAATTTTAATCTACTAAAAATGAGCCAGATTGCTGCTATCAATTTCTTCTTGAAATCGCTCTTTTTCCCGTGGAATGACTGGCCTACAACAGGTCAGTACTGCCAAAACACATTTACTTACTTAAGTACTTTTAAATAACTGCAAAACACCTCACCTTAAATTGTCGATTGCAGTAATATAATAGGAGACAGAGAGTTTTATATCTAAAAAATAAGTATTGCAGTTTCACTAATGTAAATCTTTGTTTTAAAAGTTTTTTTAAAGTCACAAAATCTGTAATCTGCACTATTTTCGAGAAAACTCGAGAAAAATACATGCTTATTCTGTCGTAACTGTAGATAGCATGGATAGTAGTATACAATTCATATTATTTTCACTAAAAACAAAAGTTACAGATTGGAAAAGATAAAAAATCTCTCATATCTGGCACTGAATTATTTTATAATAGGTGCCTACCTATTAATCATTTGTCAACAATGTAGTTTAGATATTATGAACCAAAAATGTATACCTATTGGTGTTTCTGAGCTATTGCCAGAAATCATTTTATTTTATTTTATTTTATTTTATTTTATTTTTACTTCAACACCCTACACCCTGTTTATTTGTAGGTAAGGCAAATTTTTGTGGTTCTACCTTCTCTTGATTTGTTTACACACGTTAACAACCACCATTATTATAGCATAGCATTGAAATACTTTAAAAATTTTAGCTCACCTCGGCCTTGTCAAACTGACTGAGAAACACATCGTGCTGCTGTTTTTGGTACAGCGCCCTGGCTAAGGAGCCCCGCGGTCTGAACGATAGCGCCGATCCCAAATTACCGGCATGAACCGCACTGTCGCAGCTGTAAACATCACAGCACTCGCTGGAATCCGGGTAACACACGTTAGTTTTTTCCATCACGACGGCCTACTACGACAATTCACTGCCAAAAACCGCGATTTAACAACAATTAATAAAGAAACCGATTTCGAAAAATAAGTGAGGTTAAACGGAGTTTTCTCGCAAGATGCACAATTTTACACGTATTAATTGTTGGGATAGCAGCGTGGATTTGTTTAGGATGAGATATTATTCACACTTTTTAGAAAGGAAAGGTAATACGGGGCTTTGAACTCAAAATTGCTTTCACTTTTGACACAGGACACAGAGATAAACAAAAACATACACAGATGCACTGTGTGAGTTGGCTGCACTGCGTCGCGATCATCTGTTTCGTCGCGCGAATGTTTGAATGTGGGTCAATAATCCGTTGAGCGAGGCTCTGTGCTGGCACGCCGGCTGCTTTCCTAGGCAGCAAGAAACACCACGTGGAATATCCGCCAATGGTTTAGTATTTTAATTAGGGTTTTTTTGCAACTCGTATACAAATTATATCCTTGTGGGCAACAGTAAAAATATATGCTTGTTTATTTGTATTTGCAATACTACTACCATAGCCTAAATAGCTACTACCATGGGATCATAGTAAGCCTAGTAATAACTGTTCAAGGATGTTGATACTTACATAAATATAAATCAAATTTACCAAGTATTAATCTTATCACTTATCTCAATAGCTGGGTAATCAAAATAAATCTGACTAAATGTTTTAATTTGATATTTTAAAAATGTATCCAGTTATTTTTTTTTTAGTTTCAAGCAGAAATTCAGAGCTACCTTCTGATTAGAAAACGCTAAAAAAATATGAATTATAATAATAAT